GTCTAGTGTGCACAATAAAGCCAATTAAGATGCATACAGAAAGAAATAGCTTTTATGTAATTCAGATCGTAAAGTGAAAGGCTATGGCAGTCTGCACGTGTCATCGGCATCATCAATGAGTTGCGTCAGTCATGAGAACAAAATTTCCCATTTTTCTCGGCGGAGAAAAACCTTGCACATATTTAGTACCCCATGCGCAAATGGGGTACATCTATATATGGGTACTCTATGGAGTTATTGTGCATGTGTGTACATTGTTTCTCTTACCCAACAAAAACGATAAAATTGTTATGTCTGAATAAGCATATTAAGTTTCCGATTTCTATTATGTTTCAACTATTCAGTTGTTTCCTCTACAGACTTGTTCACCAACTTCTTGCGCCAGTAGCTCCCTGAACAACGAGTCAATATCTACCGACCTTTTGCAGTTCATTTCTTACTAGCAGTGCCATAATCGTGTAAGCATGGTATCGTGTAACAATGGACAAGGATGTCTTCCAGCCAAGTCCATCAATAAGGTTCACATTTGTACATTGGATCACCCTAATGTAGACTAATATTATAACATCCGCAAGGTTAATATACCTCTGCAGTATATATTGATTTTTTTCAGAGATGAACATAAACATCTATTGATGACTTAATAACAGCATGACTGCATATATGGAAGAATCTACTGCTGACCTAAGCCTAATTACTAAAAAGTAGATAAAAGTAAACGTCAATATTCTCTCCTGCTTTATTGAAGGGCCGGTCCCTTTAGATAATAGAGCAGACTAGGCTAAATCCATTCATACTCTAATACAATCTCTAAACTGACTGGACTCTTTCCCAAGAAAGATGCTTAATCAACTACGACTCTAATTAAGGGATAAGACATCACTGGACTCTTTCCTAACAAAGATGCTTAATCAACTAGAATTCTAATTAAGGGATAAGACTCCATGTTTGATGGGCTGGTGCACATAACATCTCTCTCTTCCTTGAAAAATAGCTTGTCCGCAAGCTGTAGGTTGTGGAAGAGCCACACGCATCAGTGGCCCCAAACAGTTAGAGCAAAGGTATTGGCGATGATGTTTTGTTGACTCAGCTGGAGTAAGGCACCGAACCTACCGTGGCTGGGTCTACGCCGGAATGGTTGATGACAAAACATGTGCTAGTGGCGTTGGCAGGTATGGTCTTGTTGATGCATTGGCCGCAGGAAGATCATAGGGATAAAAGTGTCATCTAATACTAGAAGGCTGGTGTGGTGACGTTGTTGTAGGGAAATAATGCTCCTCATAGGCCTTGGTGAAGGGGAAGACGGTGTGGAGGTTAGATGGATGTTGAAGCTTGACGTCAATGTGAAGACCATCGGGCAGCCCTACTGTGCATACAAAACGGTGTTGGGGCGGTGTTAATGGATCATTGTTGCGACACATGAGCATTAGTCGAGGAAGTGTATGGCACCTATGCAAACTCGCCCACGGGATTGCTGTGGAGTGACGGCCCAAACTGAATGTGTCAATCTTCCTTGAACTACTCCCATGTCGGCATGCCAAAATCGCTCTCGGGCTGTAAGTACCAGAACTGAGTGTCATTGATGAGGTGGTAGGCTGCAGGCTAGACTTTGTCAGCCTCGTTCATGCGCTGTCCACAAAACAATTGCTGGTACCTATTGGGCCAACCAAGAAGATCGACCGAACCATCATGCGTCGGGAAGTCAAGCTTGTGAAAGCCAGGCATGCATGAACCACATCTTGATCTGAGGTGATTGTTAGGTAGGGACCGAAGGGAGGTGATGGGTGAGGTGGATGCATAGATGGGTTGTGGAAGAGGTGTGGCCATATTGGCATATGAAATAATTTGGCAAGTGGAGACGTGAAGGCGGTAGAGGCAGTGGCAAAAATCTGTAGTTGTTGGTGCTGGTGGTCGTAGGGTTGTTGTTGGTAGGTGGGCGGAAAAATTGGGGCATAATTTGGGCCGTATGGTGGCCAAGTGGCCCAGATTGATGTTAGGGGTGACGATGGCGAGTAAGGAGATGGCTGGAGTTGCTAAAAGGGCATTGGCGGGTGATGGTGGTTGCAGCGGTGTGCATAGGGTTGTGTTGCAAGGGGAAGTAGACAATGAAGGCAAGAAAGTGAGGGGATGGTGGGCGTGGGAAATCTACCTTGCGAGTGGAGGTCTGCTGGGGATAGTGGTGGCGATTCCTCCATTAGATAAGGGGAAACTAGATGTGCTATTGGCGTGGGGAATCACCAAGGCCACCATTGGAAGGATGGCTTGGGACACAGAGGTGGCATCATGGGTGGCAACTACAGTCGCAGAATCTGGAGGTGGACACGGGGTCAGAAGTCATTTCTCAACTGCCGTCAAGCGCTGCACCAGACCGTCGCACAATTAAAAGACCTATCTTCTAAACTCCTCTTACCGAGATCTGATACAGGCCCCCAAAGTTCATGGTTGGAACATCTCCTTGTCAAATCTCTACCCCAACCGCCTTACCAAGATCCGAGCACTTCATGACCCCTTCTTTGATTAGGAAATCTACTATGCTTTTCTCCGAATGAATCCAAATGCCAGCCCTAGACCTAACAGTTTTGGATCTTACTTCTACAGAAAACATTGGCACTCCACAAAACAAATGATCATCCCTTTCTTTTGTGATTTCCATAATCTAGATAAATGTGTTGATCATTTCAATACCGCCTTCATGACCCCCCTTCCAAAAGATGTCGTACCCAGATCGGCAATTAGCCATTGATTTCAAGCCCACCCCGCTTTAAAATTGCCCTCCAAAAGCCATTTCCAAGCTCCTCACAAATATACTAAAACCCATGATATTCCTCATTATTCACGACAACCAAACATGGTTCATAAATGGGTATTCCATTATCGAAAAACTTTATCTAGGCTGCTGGCCTGCTCAATTTTTCCATGCCTGTAAAGCCATGACGATGAGCTTCAAACTTGATTTCCACAAAGATTTTGACTCCAACGCATGGGCACCCCTCGTACAAATCCTCATCCACTGGAGATTCCCACACAATGGGTTGCTTGGATTAACTCTCTACTATCCACTACAAGAAATATGTCAACTTATGACCTTCTGTTAGTGACCCTCGAAGAATTGGTCATAAATTTATGACCATTTTAGACCAATTGGTCAAAAGCTGTTCAGGGGGCTTCAAACCCTTAACCATTGCGACCATTTTGGTCAGAAAGGTCGTAATTTCCTTACACGAAATGGTCACAAAGCAAACAGTGCTAGTCCGCTGCCTTATTTCTAGTTGTTAATGACCAATATAGATGGTCATAACCTTGTAGATTGTGGTGGGTTGTGATGACTAGGCGCCATCTCATCAGTTTTGCCTATGTGTCATGTCCATGTGGCAGTTTTTGCCCTAGGTTGTGAAGCAACCTATATTTCTATCATTCCCAAAATTCCCAAAAAAATCTCATAAATTCTTTGGGTCATATCTTCATCAAATATGTAAAAATCTTCCTTGCCTAGTTCAAAAATAATTCAAAAATATTCATTTTCCTATTCTGTTCAGAGTAACAGTTTGTGAAGGAAGTACCACTTTGGCATGTCCAAATAGTATCCATTTTCTACAGTGCTTTCCTATGACCAAATAACGATCCTCCACCAAATGCCAGCTCAATCCATTCATTATTTTGAGCCGAGCTTCAACATTCGTATTTATGTCCAGTGTGGTGGTTTGCAAAGCAAGTACCACCTAGGCTCCTCCTTTTGAGCTGGAAATTTGTGAAGACGGTCTTCTTAGTAACTGATCATCCTCAGCCAAAACTCACGCCCATTAGCCATGTACATTTCCCGTACCGCTAATCAAACACTTGGCCGCTAATTCATGTTTGAGCATCGATCGGTCTCCTCGTGAGAATCTTATGTTGTAATTTTGTTCCTAGCACCTACCTGGGGAGTGCTCAACCCACTAGACATGCCTAGGCTGCCCAGAACACAAGGTAACGCCACAGTCACGCGGTGACCACGCGACGGGCATGCGAGTTTACGCGCTCTAGAGTTGGGGCCCTCGGCCACCGCCCAAACCTCGACGTATCACCACCAAACAATGTATTTATGATTAAATAGGTACTTATGTAACTAGAAATGATTTTTGGAAAAAATAAATAGCAAACTATGAGGCAGCTGCAGTTTAAATTTGA